TTTAAAATTTTATTAGAAAAATTTAAAATTTAAAAAAGTTTGCAGGCAAATTTGGCTGCAAAACAATTTAAGAGATAGCTTTGCTACATAATGCTACATATCAATTTCTGACTTGACTATTTAATTTCGGAGAAATATATACCACATATAATTAGTAAACTAAAATAAAATTTTCAAATTAAAAGATAAAAGATTACTTAATAAAATCCACACGTTTGATATATACGATATAACATGCAAACATATAACCCACTTATACTTCCGGATACCATCGCTGAAATCTTCTATTAGAGTCCACCCCTCTTTGGGCCTGCTTTGCAATAAATCTATCTGGAAATAATCGGACCTATTAGATATTTTTTTAGTAAAGTTATATATGTTAACCAACTCACTAACCGCACTTATTGCAGAGTTATGACTCTTCAGGTCTACCCTTAAGCATAATTTTTTATCCATGATTGCAAGCAAAGATCGAGCAATCCCCCATACTAAATAATTCGTGAATGAACCCAATCACCAAATCCAAAATTAGTTTTCATAGTATCTAAATTTAGTTTGTTAATAACGAGGAGTATATTATATAACGGAATAAGTTAATAATAAATTGCAAGTACTTATCTGACTAAAATTCGAGTAATTGTAATGATTTGGATATTATATCTGTTTGCTCTTATCTAGCAAATAATCCCGAACAATGTGAAAATAGTATATAGTCAGGTAAGAGTAAAATGATAAGAAAATTTTTTTCTTTGTAAACTAGCTCAGCATATTCTATACTATATAAGTCTTGAACCACTTAGCGAAAGAGAACTTGCTAAAAAATACCCCAAACGATCAAAGTTATTAAAATCCTTAGAAATAAATATCCTAAAAAGTTATCCAAATTCTCTTGCAAACGATATTACAATACTAGAGCTAGAGAATTGTCATGAATGTAACGAAGAAATTTTTTTAAATCCGCCCAAAGCAGTTACTATGTTAGTATGTGGTCATACTCTCCATCACAACTGCCTTAAAAAAAGTAACAGAGATAAGCAAAAAACTTGCCCATTTGTTTCGTAGATAATGAAGGACCGGCGTCAGCTAAAGTTCAGGATGTAGATATAACAGAGGTAGTGGAAGGTGAAAGTGAAGAAACCTCTAATCTAACAGGAGAGGTAAGTAAATTATCTGTAGACGACGGTAGAGCTATCCCCCAAAGTAAAACGAAATCCATGGAATCTGAAAAAGTGCAAGGTTTAATAAAAGAACTATCTATGCCTCATGAACCAATTGATGATAATGATAGAGAAAATAAAACCAGGGAATCGAAACCAAAAACTTTACTCCAGTTATATTATAATGCAAGCCAGGCAGAAAAATGTGTAACCCGAGCCTATCAAGAAGAAATTAGATATTGGTACCTGTTTGCTAAAAAATTCGAAGGGTTAAAGAAATTAAAAATAATAATAGTAGATTTAATGATCAACAAGCTAGAGGGTTAGTTTATAGTGAAATCGCAACAAATATTCCAGGATTCACAAGAGAAAGCCTACGTAAAAAAATAGCAAAAACTAGAAATATTTATAAGTTGTTTGGTGAAAGTTATGACCCTGAAACCAAAACAGTAGTTAAGAGACTAGTGATTGAAAAAATAAAACGAATTCAATCATATAGTGCGGATTATATTTCAAAACTTAATACTACACAAATTTATAGTATTATAAAGCATTTTAGCTAGCGCAGATCGCGTCCCCCAAGTTGACGCCAACGTGATATAAATATTTTTTATTAGTAAATCATATATAAGTATAATTATA